CTATATGAAAAATAAGAAAGAGTTGATAATGCACAGGAAAACGGTTGTGTTTGTGACTTACATCCTGAACTGTGCGTCATCGTTGTCGTCATCCTCTCCACAATGGTACAAGTTGCGGCAGCTCGCTACACTCAGCAGCGCCAGCATCAACACCTGACAACACACACCTCATAGTATTGTACCACCATTTAACAATACGATTTCTAAATACTGCAAATAGTGATCTGTTTTGCTATGGAAATACCAACAATTAGTGATAATTACCTATTAGCTATAACTTCTATATATTTATTATCTTTATTTGGAAACTCTTGACTGGCCGTTGACGATCATGTACTGTACTGTAGATCATAAAAATACATATAAATGAATATTTTTGTACAAAGCTTAAATAAACCTAGTATTTTTTTTAGGTATAATTTGGCTGTCTTATGATAGTAAACGGCTTCTTAAATGAAACAAAAAATATCACATTCATTTTAATCTCCATTAAGTTATATAAAGAAACAAAAGAGTTATCCTTAATCGGTGATTATTTCTATTTACCATGAAATATACACATATACACATACAAAGCCTTAATGTAAAAATAGAAAGCTTTTCTCATAAATAATGAAAACTGTAAAACATCTTAAAACTGGTATGTTACTTACAAACTTCATGGTGGAGATCTGGTTAAGAGAATACCTCACAAAGTGTAAAACGAAGGATCGTAATGCCTTCAGCTGCCTTCCATCCGTCCTTATATACTGTACCTGTGTGTGGCAACAAGGAAATGGGAGACGATCGTACTATGGCTGGTTAGGGAGGGATCCATTCAAGGCCACCTTTCAAGAGTCCGTATTGGCGATGTTGGAGGTGGGGGCGGGATTTGAGCGGAGCGGCATTTGGAATTCCAAGAAGAGAGACAGAAGCCTCAGCGGCATGTGTAGTTCCAAGAAGAGAGACAGAAGCCTTGGCCTTCCATTACATCCTTGAACTAACTGCTTCTCTTTTGTTTTGCAAGTGACAAGGGATGTTTGAATTTGTGGCTGCCGCGACTATATTAAATGTTTTGCGCAGTATTTAAAGTTACTAATAAAAATAGAGTGATGGATTAACTGAAATAGTCAATTTAAATCCATGTTTTTTTTTTTAATGTTTAATCTATATAGTATAATTTCACCACTTAACATCTTATTTGTAGTTCGGGTGGTCTTTGTTGTGAACTTCATTGTCTAATCTTAGTACAGGTGATAAGCTGACTCCATTAAGTCATGTAAATTATTGAAACCAAGTGCAAGTGCTGAGTAGATTTTATTCTGAAATTAAATTAAGCAAACTTTACATATCTCTGCCAGTTGTTACAGTTACACCAAACAATTAAAAATTTTAAACGATAAAAGTTTACTTAAAATTCGTCCATCACCCGTGTACTTTTTTGGGCGCTGCTTCACGTCACTAATTTTTCTAATTACGAGTTCATTTAAATATGTAAAATAACGTCGTATTACATGGATACGAATGACAGACTTTGCAATTTCTTTTGGGTTGACATTTGAGCATTTTTGGTTATGCTTGAATAATTATTTTCCTAACTTAAATTTATTTTATGAAGTGATAACGATATTCTTATCGATGAAAGGATTTCTTCCGTAAAGAAAGTAGTAGGATTAAGGTAATGTGATGTTGTTTATAAATGTTTTATGTACAATATCACGTACAACCATACAAATGCCACTCCATATTAACTCGCTAGTAACGTAACTCTCAAAGCTGATGTAATCATTTCCAAGATTTATGATTATTAGAATGCATGCAAAACTTTTTTCATCCACCTACTCATTGTAGTCTTTTGGCGTTAAAATATGATGTAGATAGGTAATTTAAAATGGATGCCACGAATTACTGAGCAAACATATTTTTGAGTTTGGGACTAGGCTGAAGCGCTTTTGGCTGAATTCCCGGATACAAACAAATTTTAATTTACCGCTTTATTTCATGATGAAATGTTGATTTCCTGTAGTCTTCTCAAAACTTTTTTTTTTTTAGATAGTTCATTATACCTGTTTCTGAGCTGCTCCTCCCCTCCCTTTAATTTCTTATATATTCCTTTCTTTATTCCTATGTCATGTTTAAGTTTTCTGGTCATCCACCTTGGCTCATTCTTATTTGACCTAATTTTTCTGTATGGTATATTTTGTTCTTGTGCTTTATGTAGTATACTGGTGAATATATTATAGTCATGATCAATTGTTGTGTCATCTATGACCTCACCCCTTCCTACTGGGAACTGACGTGACTGTTCCCAGGTGACCTCACCTAGGTACCTTCTTAACCCCTGATAATCCGCCAACCGAAAGTTTGGGACTCTGACCATATTGTCATTGTTTTTCGTTTCCCAATTTAGGGTGAACCTGATTTCTCTGTGATCACTGTTACCTAGTTCTTCCCCTACTGTGATATCTCTGATAATATTTTCTTTATTTGTTAATACTAGGTCTAATATATTGTCATCTCTAGTAGGTTCTGTAATTAGTTGTTTCAAAAAATTGTCCTGTACTGCGTCTAGGAAGTCTTCAGATTCATAGTCGCCTACAATGTTGTCCCAGTCAATATTTCTGAAGTTGAAATCCCCCATAATGCATAGGTTGTTATATTTTGCTGCCCTACTCATTTCCTGCCATATGGGCTGAGCTGCTTCTTTGCCAAGACTTGGGGGCCTGTAAATCACTCCCATAATTAGTTTTTCTCTTCCTTCCGTGATTTCTACCCACACAGACTCGGTTCCTATTTCACCCTTTATTGAATTATTAGTACAACATTTTAATGTATCCTTGACGAAGAGTGCGACCCCTCCCCCCTTCCTACCTTCCCTGTCCTTGTGAAAAAGGTTGTACCCTTCTATGTGGTACTCTGATAAAAAAATTTTGCTCGCCAGATTCATCCAAGTTTCGGTGATTGCTATGACGTCTACATTCTCGGTACATACAACCGCTCTCAGCAAGTCTATTTTATTTCTAACGCTCCTACTGTTTGTATAGTATACATTTAAACCTACTCTTCCCTGGTCCTGTTTTACCCCTTGTCCTGAGCAACTAATTTTACTTCCCAGGACCTGCTTGTTTTTTGACTCCCACTTTCCCCGACCCCTCTCTACTGGCGAAACCCCCCCTTCGGAGTGACAATTTCACGCTCCAGGGATGCAGACAACGTCTTTACCCCCTCACGAGACAAGTGTACTCCGTCGCGACAGTACAGGTAGTCGTTGCCATAGAATCGTTGCCAGTTATCAATGAATGCCCAACCATTGTTTGCACAATGTTTTTCCAGTCGGCAATTTATAGCAATTGCCCTGGACAGCCATTCACGACCAACCCCTCTTCTAGGCAAGACACCACATACTATCGGGATCCCTCCCCTATCTCTAATCTTCCCCAGCGCCTCCCTATACCTCTTGAAAAGTTCCTCACTCCTAACCTTACCTATGTCGTTTCCTCCCACACTAAGACACACTACTGGATTGGTACCCTCCCCTGACAAAACCCTGTCTAACCTCTCGGCTACATGCCCTATCCCAGCCCCAGGAAAACACACCCTAGTCCTACGTTTCCTATCTCTCGCACAAAAAGCCCTATCCATAAACCTCACCTGGCTGTCACCAACTACCACGACCTTACCTGTGGGCAGGGTTTGTACAACTGCCCTTTCCTCTCCTTGATCCATACCGTCCTGCCTCTTCTCTTCCTCGCCAGCTTCCTGCAGCACCTGGTAAGGGTTACTACACTCCACACCCTGGTCAGCTTTCCTGAGCCTGACCCTAGTCTCCTTGGAGACAACCACTCTCCACGCCTGCTCCTCCTTCGCAGGTGTCCTGCAAGGCAGGACACCTACCTGAAGGAGTTCCGTCCCGAGGGCTTCATTTTCCCCCTTTAGAGTGTCAACCTCACTCCTCAACTGCCCCAGCTGCCTTAACAGAGTGGCAAGGAGGTCGTCTTTCCCCACGCTCCCCTCCTCTTCCCCCACGACACAACGATCCAAAGCGGCCATTTTCCTTGGTCTCTAACGGGAGCACGATCGGGCACGACCTTCTCCAAGCTGGGTCAGAGGTCAACATTGTTATAAGCCTTGATTCACCTCAGTACCTGACATTACCAATGCGAGGTTTCTAGTACTGGTAGGACAGCAGTGTTAGTGAGATGCATGCAGTAATAAAAAATACAAATAAAGCATGCTTCCAGGCAGAGCAAGGCTCATTATTCAAAGTAGTCCCCCACGTTATAATATGAAGCCTAAGTATTACTAATTGTTAAATTTCTTTAACTCCACATTTATTTCAAAGAAACTTTAAATTTTGTTTTAGTAAATTTTTTGTCAAATTTGAACCCTTGAGAAAAATCATAAATTTGGATGTGCATATTCAAAACCACACCCTAATATAACCTAACCAAATATAACATACAAAATCTGTATGTTATTATGCATAAAAAACCACTTAACACAAAAAACATTTTATCACTAGAAATATGATAACTATTTTTATTACTATGCACTTTAAACAGTGAAACACAAGAACTAACATATATTCAGAACCAAAAACTATGAATGCCTCAACAGAACTGAAGGAGTTATCATGTCCTGCATTCTAGTGGGGTAATTTTGTGTCAGAGGTAGTCTAGAATATATGGTTAGATTAGGTATGTTTAAGTTAGGTTAGGTTATGTAACCTTAATAGTTTTAGGCTCTAATTGATTAAAACAATTCAGAAGACTTATATATATATATATATATATATATATATATATATATATATATATATATATATATATATATATATATAATATATATATATATATATATATATATATATATATATATATATATATATATATATATATATATATTAAACCAGAAATAAAAAAATGGCTACGCCTCTGACTAACCAATCAAAAACATTCATCCAAATTTATTGTAAATTTGTTTGAAATGAAACTTAAAAGAATATCAATCAAACAATTTAGTTTTAATGAGACTTTATTACAAAACTCTTTATATTACAATGCTGCTCATATGTTTCTTTGTTCTTAAACATCTAAGATTCGGAATGTACAAAATTTTCGTTGCCGTAAGGTCATTTATCTTTCTCGCTATATATCCACCTTTTCGTATGCAGTAGGGAGGACCAGAGCTGTAGCAGACTCGGGAGACAGCGGGGAGCCTTTCTCAAGAAAAGAAGACCTTAGCTCGGGTATCTCAGACTCAGAGAGATCTACTTTCCTATATGCTGTAGGCAGGACCAGGGCAGTGGCAGACTCTGGGGACAGCGGGGATCCCTTCTCGAGGAAAGACGACCTTAACTTTGGAGTATCTGTCTCTTCCGCCGAAGTCCTTGAATGATATAAGAACAGGTCATAAAAACTTGTGAAATTACCTTGGTTCGACACAGAAATAATAAATGAAGGCAAGATATGATATATCACAATTATAAGACATTTTCTTCCGTTGGGAGATTTCCGTTGGTTAGAAAATATAACGTTTAACTTTATCAACCCACAAAATACCACATAAGATAACTCACACAAAACTTCTGTCTATTTCAATTCCTAACCGGAGTGGAGGACCGAGTTCTCTCCCTGTGCACTAACTTTTGTGCATTAAACGATAAATGAGTTCACTATCGGGTTCACTTGTCAACAGTTGAATAAATCTTGGGTGGACCAGCATCCTGTCTAAGAAGTAACCCCACTAGCTACTGAATGATAAGAATCAGATCAACATCAGCTCGGCCATCCTGCAGTGTACAGTATAATTATAGCCTCACTCAGTTTGGGGTCGATGACGAAAAGGAGAACAGAGATGAGAAGAGATGTTGCTGTGTGTGCAGAAGTGGAGACGGTGGTGGGGGGAAGCTGATGAGGGATATAAGATGTTGCAGGCAGGAAGAGATGGAACAACATATGAAGAGAGAGTATATGTTAATTGACACGTCAGTAAAAAGTAATCAAGGCAGAGAGATGGAAAAGAAGGATCATAGTAACAACGTTTAAGGTTATGTGTATATAGTCAGGTTTACAGAAGAACTCATAAGGAGACAGTAGAGTGTTATTGGAGGTGGTATCTGGGAATTATTTGGATATATACAGAGGTGTAGAATGCCAGTATGAGAATGAGACAGCTTGTGGGGGAAAATGGATTGCCACTTGCCAAAACAGGGAATCGCGCAGGACTGAGATGCTTTGCTAATTGTTTAATGTTACCAGAGACAGAGTGAGGGACGGCAAGTCTGTGGTAGGGGGGCTATAGTCCACGTCAGCATAATCCATCCGGTGTTTGTGATAATATAGCAGGAGACGGAAAATAGAAGCCAAGGTGACATAGAAAGGATAGTTGGTGGATTTGTAGAGGGAAAGAAAGGGAGGTTAGGTTTTCTATATTTATGCGTATTATATTGATCTATATGAAAAATAAGAAAGAGTTGATAATGCACAGAAAAACGGTTGTGTTTGTGACTTACATCCTGAACTGTGCGTCATCGTTGTCGTCATCCTCTCCACAATGGTACAAGTTGCGGCAGCTCGCTACACTCAGCAGCGCCAGCATCAACACCTGACAACACACACCTCATAGTATTGTACCCCCATTTAACAATACGATTTCTAAATACTGCAAATAGTGATCTGTTTTGCTATGGAAATACCAACAATTAGTGATAATCACCTATTAAAATTAGCTATAACTTCTATATATTTATTATCTTTATTTGGAAACTCTTGACTGGCCGTTGACGATCATGTACTGTACTGTAGATCATAAAAATACATATAAATGAATATTTTTGTACAAAGCTTAAATAAACCTAGTATTTTTTTTAGGTATAATTTGGCTGTCTTATGATAGTAAACGGCTTCTTAAATGAAACTAAAAATATCACATTTATTTTAATCTCCATTAAGTTATATAAAGAAACAAAAGAGTTATCCTTAATCGGTGATTATTTCTATTTACCATGACATATACACATAAAAAGCCTTAATGTAAAAATAGAAAGTTTTTCTCATAAATAATGAAAACTGTAAAAATCTTAAAACTGGTACGTTACTTACAAACTTCATGGTGGAGATCTGGTTAAGAGAATACCTCACAAAGTGTAAAACGAAGGATCGTAATGCCTTCAGCTGCCTTCCATCCGTCCTTATATACTGTACCTGTGTGTGGCAACAAGGAAATGGGAGACGATCGTTACTATGGCTGGTTAGGGAGGGATCCATTCAAGGCCACCTTTCAACAGTCCGTATTGGCGATGTTGGAGGTGGGGGCGGGACTTGGGCGGAGCGGCATGTGGAATTCCAAGAAGAGAGACAGAAGCCTCAGCGGCAGGTGTAGTTCCAAGAAGAGAGACAGAAGCCTTGGCCTTCCATTACATCCTTGAACTAACTGCTTCTCTTTTGTTTTGCAAGTGACAAGGGATGTTTGAATTTGTGGCTGCCGCGACTATATTAAATGTTTTGCCCAGTATTTAAAGTTACTAATAAAAATAGAGTGGTGGATTAACTGAAATAGTCAATTTAAATCCATGTTTTTTATTTAATGTTTAAATCTATATAGTATAATTTCACCATTTAACATCTTATTTGTAGTTCGGGTGGTCTTTGTTGTGAACTTCATTGTCTAATCTTAGTACAGGTGATAAGCTGACTCCATTAAGTCATGTAAATTATTGAAACCAAGTACAAGTGCTGAGTCGATTTTATTCTGAAATTAAATTAAGCAAACTTTACATATCTCTGCCAGTTGCTACAGTTACACCAAACAATTAAAAATTTTAAACGACAAAAGTTTACTTAAAATTCGTCCATCACCGGTGTACTTTTTTGGGCGCTGCTTCACGTCACTAATTTTTCTAATTACGAGTTCATTTAAATCTGTAAAATAACATCGTATTACACGGATACGAATGACAGACTTTGCAATTTCTTTTGGGTTGACATTTGAGCATTTTGGTTATGCTTGAATAATTATTTTCCAAACTTAAATTTATTTTATGAAGTGATAACGATATTCTTATCGATGAAAGGATTTTCTTCCGTAAAGAAAGTAGTAGGATTAAGGTAATGTGATGTTGTTTATAAATGTTTTATATACAATATCACGTACAACCATGCAAATGCCACTCCATATTAACTCGCTAATAACGTAACTCTCAAAGCTGATGTAATCATTTCCAAGATTTATGATTATTAGAATGCATGCAAAACTTTTTTCATCCACCTACTCATTGTAGTCTCTTGGCGTTAAAATATGATGTAGATAGGTAATTTAAAATGGATGCCACGAATTACTGAGCAAACATATTTTTGAGTTTGGGACTAGGCTGAAGCGCTTTTGGCTGAATTCCCGGATACTAAAAAATTTTAATTTACCACTTTATTTCATGATGAAATGTTGATTTCCTGTAGTCTTCTCAATTTTTTTTTTTTTTACCAAGGCTTTTAGGAATATAATGTGACCAAACTCACATTCGGAACTTTATTACTTGTAGAATCCGAGTTACTGTATAAGGAAAACATCCTTCTAGCATTTCTAGCAGCTAGCTAGCGAAGATAAGATTTAGCTCCAATATTTGTGATATCTGGCAAGGAATAAAGGGAGCAAGACGAAGAATTCAGCGAAATCCCGTTTTACTTTTTTTAGCAGCAGCAGCAATGGGGTCCCGGTACTGTGCAGCTATTAAGTTCTCTACCAACACTGTAAGGAACAGAAACTTGTATTTCTTTCGATCTCCGAAAGACTCAGTGATGCGAATCGTACACCTGTACTTCTGGCAATATTGAGTTCATAAGTTTTTATGAGCTCTTTATTGAATATATTTGGTACTGATAACGTTCCACTTTTCAGATTTTTTGGTTAACCGAAGAGTATCGTTTGGATATATAACATGAGCCGGATACTGTTGTAGTTTCGAAAATATGTGCTGGAACTTTGAAATTTTGGATAATTATTTTTTTATGACCCCCCACGACTTTTTGGACGGAATTGTGTTTTTCCTGTATATTTCGGTGTGTTTTGAATGGATGTCACACTCAATTCTAGGGCAAATTCATGAAAACCTTACCAATCAAACTTAAATTGTGTGGTAAAAACATGCAAAAAACAACAAGCCAAACTAAACCTAACTTTGCCTAATCTATCTTTACCTACTGAACCTAACTTTACCTAATCTATCTATACCTAACCTAACTTTACCTATGTCTGGACAATTTTGTGTCATTTAATGAAAAACCAAACGGTTAAGAAGCGGTAAAGTACAAACACTGAATTTGTTTTAGTCTAAACAAGGGATCCTATATTCATGCTGAACTGTCTATCTGCATACCTGAATACAGTACAGTACCTGCATAATTTATACACGAAAATTTCGCTGAATAAATTATATTATTACTAATATTCCAAAAAGGAATAAAGTAGTCTGATCTTCAAACTTTATACACTATAGGAGCCTAATCTTAAAACCTGCTGTCTTCAATTTCCAGCAATGCATTGGTAGTTGTGTAGTTTTGAAGCTGTGCTGTTTTTTTGTTTTTTTAGACGTTGGTCATCAATAAATTAGCGAGCACAATGTGTGAAACAATGGTGTCACTGCCAACTGTTGCCGACTTGTAAATAATGTACCGCAATGTTCTTTGTATCACTATTAAATGGTAGCCTGTAAAAAAACGCTTTTGTTAACTGTTTGCGATTTTTTTTTCTTCATATTAAATGGTGTAAAACTGGTGTAAAAATGTAGCTACCACCATGGCTTTTACTGAGAAACTGAAGGATCATATTTCCTTAAGCTTAAGCAGTCAAATAATTATATTTTACTACAGAATAATCAGTGTGTTGCTTTGATAAATTATCCCTAGATATCAAAAGTTGGATGTCAATAACTAATGCATATATATATATATATATATATATATATATATATATATATATATATATATATATATATATATATATATATATATATATATATTGGATTTTTTTTTGTTTTATTAATAATCTTGTGTTCTCGCACAATATCATGTAAGGCTTTTTTTCCGTTTGACGTCCTTACCGTCGCGGGAGGATAGAACATTTTTAATTGAGTAACAAGGAAGGTAGAGTAGCTATCCTTCTATAGTATCGAAATCCTTGGTTTGGTCCAGTTACAGGCTTGGAGTAAACAGTTATTGACGCAAAGAAAACTAGGAACTCATGGCCATATGCTAAAAAGTGAATTGTGTGTCACATTCGCGGATCACAAAATCCTTTTTAACAACGAATGGATCCCAAGATTTTTGCTATGCTTAAACCACAGCAAAATTTAAGCTATCAAGTTCCAGGAACACAGGGGGTTTGGTAGCTTGGTACCCGTGGTTCGGTTTGTTTACACACCTAGGTGCGGGAAACGTGGAAAGCGTGGCAACTGGGCGGTCAACCTACATTTAACCTACATTGTAGAAGGGAGAAAACGTCTTCTCATTGACTAGTCAATGAGAAAAAAAGATGTAATAAACGACGAGAGGACAGATGTGGGCGCGATCCACAAAAAACAATGCCTGGCAGGAAATAACCAGTGTATATAACTACGCAGGCATGGGTCAGGCACAAACCACGAAGCAGCTAAAAAGAATATGAGAATATTCGAAGAGCAAGTAAGTACAGTATAATATTTGTATTAACATTAAGTGAAACTAAATTATTACATTAATATACTGTAGTACTTTTGACCATTTTATATTTCTTGTAAACTGAGAAGGTACCGGGTATGTCAATCCTCAGACTCCATTCATTCCTGAGCATAAAATTCTCGTCGTCCTTTTTTTAAATATGTGCACAAGTTTATTTTCAACCTCATAAAAATTTTGTAAGCATCCAATGTTAGTGATGATATCAGTAATAGTTCAGGACACTATGACACCTAGATTGCGAATTTAAATGGATTTACACTTTGTGCAGACCTTTCATAACTTTACTTAACCTAGCCTGACTTAGTGAATGAGTGCTATTATAGTATGTGGTCAACCAGAATATTTAGACTATAGTAGAATTTGAATAACAGTAGGTTTCATTGAGAATGCATTTATTTTTACTTGCATTCACGTAAGGAATATGTTTGCATTGTACTAACAGTAGAACCTTCCCATTCGAGGGCTTACGATTCGCTATTTTGACGATTCGCGGTAAGCAGCTGGTGGCTCAGCACAAGTCACCCCACTCTCCTGGGGCGTCTCATCTCGCTCTGTTTGCCCTCACCCAGTACTGGTGACCAAGCATCCCGTGTCATACTCTCAAAGCTTTAGTATTTCTTTGTGAAAATAGCCCCGAAAAGACTGCCTAAAGTCAGTGCTAGTGATGCTAGTGGAGTGAAACACAAAAGGAATAAGTCAGTGATGACCCTGGCATACAAAATTTAATTATTAGACAAGTTAAAAGAGGGGATGAGTGCTACCTCATTTGGTCGGTTGTGCTATGTGAACGAATCCACAGTGCGGTACATAAGAATGAATGAACAAGCAATTTGTGATTCTGTTCAAGCGAGTGCTCCTGCAAGTGCTAAAGTGACGCAGGTTGTTCGTGACAAGAACTTACTGTAGTGAAAACTGAGAAAGCACTGAACATTTGGATTGAGAACCAGCACCGCAAAAATGTTCCGATCAAAAGCAACGTCATTCGTGAAAAAGCTAAAAGTCTTTATGCTCTTTTTTATGAGTCAACAGGTGATGAAAGGGCTAGTGCTGTGACTGAACCAACTTTTAATGACAGTAAAGGTTGGTTCGAGACGTTTAAGTAAAAATTCTTGCTCCATAATGTGAAGCTGACTGGGGAGGCCGCATCAGCTGACCACACAGCCGCAGGAGCATTTCCCGCCAAGTTAAAAAAATAATAATATAAGAGAAAGGCTATAGACCAGAGCAAGTGTTTAATGCCGATGAATCTGGTTTATATTGGAAGAAAATGCCTGGTAGAGCATCCATAAACAAGTGGGAGAGACGTGCCTCTGGGTTCAAGGCAACCAAGGACAGAGTGACGCTCATCTTCTGTGGCAATGCTGCTGGCCGCATGATCAAGCCTGGCTTGGAACGCAGCCTTAAGATGGTCCGAGGAATCAACCAGGTATTGTTTGCCTATCAGGAAATGTTTAAATAACTCAAAGCCAAGAGGAAACAACTATCAATGTTTTTCAAGAAAAAACCATCTACTACCGCTGCTGCTCCACCCTCCTCTTTCTCCCAGCCACCCGCCTCCCGGCCACGCCCCACTCCACCACCCACCTCTCCACCAACCACCACTGATTCACCCTCTTCCACCAGTGATCTAGATGGTCCACCTACAGTATGCTTCAGTAACCAGATGTCTCCCTATGTACAGTGCACCACTTCATCAAGCTCCAGACTTCCACTTACGAATATAAGCACAGTATTGTGACTTAACTTTCTCATACACAGTACAGATATACCTGTATATTAGTGCACTTAGGTAATATATAAGTGGTTATTCGCGGTTTTGCCAATTTGTGCCATTTCTTGGAGCCTTTCCCTCGCGAATGGCACGGGTCTTCTATTACTATTGCATTTTATTAAGTGGAACAAACATATCCTGCCCTTTTAATTTATTAGTTTGTAATACCTGTACATGATTTGTTATTTTGATTAATTTACATTTAATATTCTTGTTTGTATTGCTGATGTCAATGAAAAAAGCGAAATTTTCACTGGAACAGTGGAAATAGTTGGTACAGAGGTAGTGGCAAGTGAAATCTCCAGATCATCACCTGCTGACAGCCAAGATACTGACAATTCATCTGCTGCAAGTCACACATCAGAAAGCATGAGGGCATCTTCAGGTTGTAGCAATGGAACAAAAGTCTACACACCACACACTGCTACCCCAAGAAGAAGCCGGCGCAAATTTTCAAATAGAGGACGATAAATATATATATATATATATATATATATATATATATATATATATATATATATATATATATATATATATATATATTGTTACGAACCCCTCCACCAATTGTCATGATCTACCTACCCAGTACTACGAACCCCGCCATCTATTGTCTTGATCTACCTACCCAGCACCACTAGCAACGCCATCTAGGGACGAGACACAAGTATGACTCCTCTTAGTTACCACTCCGGGGATTCCCTTCTCCATATCCTGGTTGTTGCGTCACTTTCTCCAAGTCTTCTTTGTCAGCTCGAGTTCGAGGAGAGAGCACTACACTCTGGGAAGTGACCACAGGATCACCTATCCTCTAAACCTACGGCACAGTGACTACCTACCGTCTTCTCCAATACTCAGCCTTGCTCGTCAGCCATCTCAGCTCCGCACTTAAGTATTTGTAATCTTATATTGCCTCCCCCACGTCCACTTGCTTCAAATTATTGTATGTTGTATAAATATGTATATACTGTTAATGTTTAGGTTAAGTATGGTTAAGGGTAATTTATAGATAGCTGAATAATTTGTTAAGGAATTTATGGTACTTTATTATACACAACAAAAACTCGCATCCTTTGTCTACCCTTTTATAGTCCGATTGTCTTTATTTTTTTTTGTTGTTGCCTGTTGGGATCTGGGTAGACTTTTAACTATATTCTAAATCCCCAACTCGTAACATATATATATATATATATATATATATATATATATATATATATATATATATATATATATATATATATATATATATATATTTATATTTATATTTATATATATATATATATATATATATATATATATATATATATTATTTTTTTTTGTTCAACCATGAAGCAAATATTTTTTTTTTACGGGGATTAGCCCACCCTGGCACAAGTCAATGACCCACAACGAGGCCTCGGGGGCGAAAATGAAATCATAATAACAATAATAATAATGCATAGTAAATAAATTTTATAATAAAAATAAAATCGAAAATAAAATAATAAAATAATGATAATAATATTAATAACAACACTGTAATACTGTGATAATAATAATAATAATAATTTATAATAATTATAATAATAATAATAATAATAAAGAACAATAAAGAAAAAAATTCAAAAGTGAGAACCGATATACGTATGTTGTGTTGTCAATAGTAAAAGAGACAATTGAGACCCTGCAATTGTGTAAATGAGGCAGAAAGTCAGATTAGCAACCTGGGACTTGGTCACAATTTTCGTGATGCTACATGGCAGCAGGGTCTACCATTAGACAACACTTTATGCTTCCAAATAAACAAATGTACTGGTAAACAATATATTGTTTTATTTCAATACTTCCCCATTTCCACACAGTAAATTATACAAACATAGAAATGGTGGATATATCGCATTATGATAATTATACAGTAAGAAATTATGTGCAAAATTATCACCAGACAAACAGAAATGAAGATATGTTCAGATATGTAAGTCTAGAAATCGTTTCTATTTATATGGGCTCCTTCGATATTGCCAACAACATTCTTCAGTCCGTTGATATTGGGTTACTGGGATGGGATATTGAGTCATCAAGATCCTCTGGGTTCTCAACAAAGTCTTGGCCATCAATTTCACCAGGTGTCATGCGACAAACCTTCGGTGCGCAAAACCTTCTGGAAGAACTCACCACGCGTACGCAACAAATTTATGAATACCCAATATTAATTGTTATCGCCGCTGGCTTCAGCTACAGTGCTGGCGTGTGATGCCATTAAATCTTTCGACCTGTGATCTCACCAGACGTAGAAGTGTTTACAGACAAGTCCTGGTTCTCCTGAGTGGACTGTCTTCGACTGGTGGTGGCTGCCCCATGAGACAGATCGCCCTCTCTAGTGATGCTGTGAAGACCAGCTTTATGCTCGCACTGGTGAACACCGACTCACAATCCTGTCCGAAAATTTATGCTAAGACAATTTACGCAGTACTGTTGTTTCTTGGAACACCATACTGATTAAAATGAGTATGTGTTGCAGCAATCTAAATGGAACTAATTGAACTCCAAAATAATGTGGCCTTGAAAGAGGAGGTTGGTTATTGTGATCCCGTCACCTTCTGGACACAGAAGGTGTCTCCAGCTAGTTCCCTTCATCTGCATAAAGATGCAATGCATATCCTTACAATATTAGGCTCCACTTGCTGCTGTGAGTTTCCTTTCTGCACCACGATTCTAGTGAAGAACAAATACCGCTCCAATATCACCAGTGAACACCTACTGTAAATCATTGTCTTCGACTTGCTATAACACCAATAGTACTAAAGTTCATGGAATTGGCAAGAAGCACAAAGTGGCCACAGTATATATTATGACCTGCAGTATATTATGTGTTATAGAAAATTAATTCATTTTTTTTATTCATCCCCCAAGGATGGTTACTTTTAACCCAGCTATACATCCCTTAACGGTTAAGGCTTAACCTCTTTATTTTTTTATAAGGAACTAGTCAATTTCTATAATTTATTTGCATTGTCAACACATTTTGAGATTATAAATGCAAGTAGCCGGAAAAAAATCGTTTTGAGTGGTCTTATGTGTATCTTTTTTTTTTAATAAAACTATTCCTTCTGACCTTTGACACTAAAGATATTTGTGTGACTAGACAGTCCAGCTTTCGTAATAGCTATATAGCTATTCATAACCCGTGAGGATCACAAGAGCTGTGGCTTACTCAGGGGGACAGTGGGGAACCCTATTTATAGAAAGACGACTCAAGATCCACCTTCTGGTCCGCTGTTGGTAGACTCTTGAGAAATAGGGGAACCCTCTTCCTCAACGATAATGGCAGGTCAAGTACCTCTGAGTCAAGATCTACCTTCTGGTACGCTGTTGGTAGAACGTGTGCGGTTGCAGACTCTGGAGAAATGGGGGAACCCTCTTCGTGGAAAGACGATGGGAGGTTAAGTACCTCTGAGTCAAGGTCTACCTTCTGGTATGCTGTTGGTAGAACGTGTGCGGTTGCAGACTCTGGAGAAATAGGGGAACCCTCTTCGTGGAAAGACGATGGGAGGTTAAGTACCTCTGAGTCAAGGTCTACCTTCTGGTATGCTGTTGGTAGAACGTGTGCGGTTGCAGACTCTGGAGATAGGGGAACCCTCTTCGTGGAAAGACGATGGCAGGTCAAGTACCTCTGAGTCAAGATCTACCTTCTGGTATGCTGTTGGTAGAACGTGTGCGGTTGCAGACTCTGGAGAAATAGGGGAACCCTCTTCGTGGAAAGACGATGGCAGGTCAAGTACCTCTGAGTCAAGATCTACCTTCTGGTATGCTGTTGGTAGAACGTGTGCGGTTGCAGACTCTGGAGAAATAGGGAACCCTCTTCATGGAAAGACGATGGCAGGTCAAGTACCTCTGGTCAAGACTGGTATGCTGTTGGTAGAACTGCGGTTGCAGACTCGAAATAGGGAACCTCTTCATGAAAGACGATGGCAGGTCAAGTACCTCTGAGTCAAGATCTACCTTCTGGTATGCTGTTGGTAGAACGTGTGCGGTTGCAGACTCTGGAGAAATGGGGGAACCCTCTTCGTGGAAAGACGATGGCAGGTCAAGTACCTCTGAGTCAAGATCTACCTTCTGGTATGCTGTTGGTAGAACGTGTGCGGTTGCAGACTCTGGAGAAATAGGGGAACCCTCTTCGTGGAAAGACGATGGCAGGTCAAGTACCTCTGAGTCAAGATCTACCTTCTGGTATGCTGTTGGTAGAACGTGTGCGGTTGAACGTGTGCGGTTGCAGACTCTGGAGAAAGAGGGGAACCCTCTTCATGGAAAGACGATGGGAGGTCAAGTACCTCTGAGTCAAGATCTACCTTCTGGTATGCTGTTGGTAGAACGTGTGCGGTTGCAGACTCTGGAGAAATAGGGGAACCCTCTTCATGGAAAGACGATGGGAGGTCAAGTACCTCTGAGTCAAGATCTACCTTCTGGTATGCTGTTGGTAGAACGTGTGCGGTTGCAGACTCTGGAGAAATGGGGGAACCCTCTTCGTGGAAAGACGATGGGAGGTTAAGTACCTCTGAGTCAAGGTCTACCTTCTGGTATGCTGTTGGTAGAACGTGTGCGGTTGCAGACTCTGGAGAAATAGGGGAACCCTCTTCGTGGAAAGACGATGGGAGGTTAAGTACCTCTGAGTCAAGGTCTACCTTCTGGTATGCTGTTGGTAGAACTTGTGCGGTTGCAGACTCTGGAGAAATAGGGGAACCCTCTTCGTGGAAAGACGATGGGAGGTTAAGTACCTCTGAGTCAAGGTCTACCTTCTGGTATGCTGTTGGTAGAACGTGTGCGGTTGCAGACTCTGGAGAAATAGGGGAACCCTCTTCGTGGAAAGACGATTGCGAGTTGGAGCAGTCCGTGTCTTGTGAGGACATCCTAAAACAAGATAAGAAGGGTCCTGTGAGTGCAGTTTACTCATATAGACTGGCTAGCACTGATCATGACAAGTGAAGATTGTGGAAACAGTTTTGTTCAAGTGTGGAAAAAATAAGTTTATCACACGGTTGTAATATAAAGTATATAATTGTATCGCACAATCTAACTAATTATATATGGTTAAAAATCTTAACATTGGAAAAAAAAACATTACAAAGCATCAAAATATGTTTGTCTTTAAACGGCAAACTAAGAAAATTTATTAAAGATAAATGCAAAGATAAAGAAAAACTACAGTGCAGAAGAGCGTCCTGAGATGTAGTTGTGACTCACATCCTGTAGTATACATCATAGTTAGCATCATCGTCATCCAGGTCTCTTCGATACAGGTGGCGGCAGGTGGCCACGCTCAGCAGAACCAGTATCAACACCTGACAACACACAATTCTCAATTAGACTGATAATGCATATTTGTAATAACCTAAAGAAGGGGGTTTTAAAATTTATCTTGGACTAAATGAAAGAAGGATTTTGAATATTATATTTAACGAAGTTATCTTAACATAGTTGAAACAGATATTATAAGAACACGTACGCCCTTCGTACAACAAGTTTTAGTGAAACTGGTGTAGTGGTGTGCAAAGCAAAGGTTAAACCCTAATACAATGTATCAATGTATCTTGCCCATAGGAGTGGTTGGGCATCTTGGCGTCTTTTATAAATTCCTCTTCGTCTGAAAAAAATGTGATGTCGTTCATTTGAAATAAAAATTACGAAATTCCCTCCTGATTAGACAAAGAACACCCTACTGCAGTGTGTCTAAGTATGTACCTCTCAGAAAGTTTCTAAAAACATTGATCATCAGCATGGGCCTAGATAGAAAATGCATTCTTAAGAAGATAATAGTTTTGGTGCAGGTATTTCTCAAAATTACAGTCACTGGAAAAATAAGATCATTACGCTGGTTACCCTCTCACACAGCAAGCTATCAAGGGTTTAAGAGATACACTCACTAAAAAAAAAGTATTCTCCACCGCTGGCTCTGAAACCATCCGCAAAGATTACTGCGACCGAAGCCGTGATGAGTGTTATCAGATTTCTTGGTCCGGTGTGTCATTGTAAGACTCCGTAAAGGTGCACAATAATCTTTTGGCGAATGTACATGGTTACTACAAGCATATCTTGGTGTGAAAGACTAGTGGAGCTATCACCGCCCAAACGTATCAATTATACAGTCATGAATGAGGGGGAAATGCATTGCTATAGAACCTGTAAATGAAATCAGATGGTAATGGCAGTGATGACGCGTTTGTTGACAGGATCACAGTGGTGAGCGAAACGATCAATCAGGGTATCGAGCTCATCCACTATTTGGTTCTGATTGTGTCACATATGATAAGTCGATGTGCGGGGATCTGAAGATAATGTATAATGGCATCTGGACACTTCGATAGGCTCAGAACAGGCCTAAATCAACTGAGACTTTAAAGGTGCTTGTTTGAAGCTTCTCCGAATTTCGACTCCTTTATTAACTCAGTAATGACTTCATTTGCTTTGGCCAGAACATGTTTTATGATTTTCCTTTATTATAATAAAAACAAATACTACATTTTATCATGCGGTGCCAACGAGTTCTATAATAATTCCCTGTGTAAGATTATATTGGTCACATAAAGCGAGATGACACACTTCGGTTACCCTCAAGTCACTTGTTTTCATCTAGTCGCGATAAAAAGTTTACGTTTTCTTTTTTCACCTTAATTTATTACCACATTTTTCCATACAAAAATAACTTAGAATCTTAACCACTTGTTATTTTCTTTTTCATTTTTACACATTCACAGCACTGCTGCGTACCACCGTATCTATGGCGAAGCACGATTAGGGATTATTACATTAGATGAACCAGGCAGGTACTACTGTTATTCATTAGTAATATGTAATAGGTATGTATATAATCACGACGTAACGACATTTACTTCATGTAAAATACTGTACTTACAAACTTCATGGTGAGGCGCACACCAGTTAGGATCACCACGTGTAAGCGATGTGTGTGTGAATTTTCAACTGAATTATTAACTTAAATACCAGGTCTTATATATCTGTGCCAACATTAAAGAAAGAACAGACGATATCAAAGGCCACCCACTAATAGGCATGAGTCAAGGGTAACTCACTAGGAGGGGGTGGGGGAAATTCCGAGAAGAGGTTCAGCGTGACCTTTACACCAGCAAAGGTCTCGGCCTATTATGCGGTATTTCTGTCCTTACCTCGTCGCTCTTGCTATATTGTGATGTTTACCATATTGTTGTTTGATAGAATGTTGCATTATACTTAGCGCTTACTAATTGTTTTAAGCAATAAATGAGAACAATTTTGAAAAAAATACAAGTTAAATTTTCATAATAATTTTACTTGAACTGCAGTGCAAGTAATGGTCTGACTAATACGGGGTTGAGCTCACTCTGACGCAAGGCAGTAACCAAAGCACAGTAATGAAAACGTGGATAAGATAAATCTTGATAAAATCACACGGGAAAAGGGAAACAACGGAGCACCTTAGCTTTCGTCTTTATTCAAGACATCTTCAGAGGCAACTGGATTACATGGACAGAGAGAGGCTTAAATATACAGGGTGACCTTAAAAACATGAGGTCAGGTCATAATGATGTCATCCACTAATCCCCACACCAACACACACGTGTTGAATTGAAACACATTCGTTCCATTGCACAGAAACTCGGGTACCCTTCTGTGTTTGTTGATCGTTGTTTTAAAAGGGCTAAAAAATCCTTTCATTCCTCTCAAACCAGGCAAATTCCTACACTTAAGAATATTTTGACTCTGCCCTATCGTAATGAATTTGTCCCGTGAGTTCGGTCCCTCAAGCTACTTAATATTAATGTTGTTTTCAAGTATGACTCAACCATTACCAATATGTTAATAAGAAATAGCCCAAGTTTGAATGTAAATGGAAGTGTTTATTGTATTCCATGTAGCAAATGTAATTGTAATTATGTAGGACAGACAGGAAAAACACTGCAGCTCAGAATCAAACAACATAAGTATAATATCAGAACAGCATCTGAAAGCAGTGCCTTGTTCGTTCATGTTAGAAATAATAATCATCCCATTGCTTGGGAAAAAAGCTTAGAAGTATTTAAATCATCTTGTGTCACAGAAAGACTTCTGGTTGAAGCTAGTTTGATTAAGGAATTAAAATCAATAAACCTTAGTGATGGTCAGTTCAAAACTGATAATATGTTACATAAATTTATTTGTCAGTGGCCCAAGGTTAAAAATGCTTTGAAAACCTTTGATCTAGATGTATGATAGTTATTTAGTGGGTCCCGTATTTTTTACTTGACCTGACTAGTCACGTCATCCCCTTCTCTTAAGCTCCTCTACGTGTGTGTTGGTGTGGGGATTAGTGGATGACATCATTATGACCTGACCTCATGTTTTTAAGGTCACCCTGTATATTTAAGCCTGTATATTGCAAATGCAATATGGGAAAAAATCCAGCAAGAACAGGATCCCATACTAAACCAACTAATTGAGGAAAACAACAACACATCGCACAGACGGTGGCCTAGAAGCAGAAGAAATGATAACGAAGAACCAGAGCCTCTATATACACAATAACAAAGAACCAAAAGATGGGCACAACTCTCCAGTCACACAAGGACCTGGAGGGACCCCACAAATAAACAAAGACCTAAATAGTTCACAAACACCCACAATATAAAAAACTAAAAAAAAAAAAAAAAAAACTAAAAACGAAAAAGATGGGGATCATCCCTCCAGTACCACAAGGAAACATCAAATAGAACAACTTAGCTTAGCTTGGCTGAGACCGGCCTTCCCTAACCGCATGAGTCCTCTAATGCAGCACTGTTGACGGAAGACAAAAAACCCCGTCTCCGCAAGGTGGATAGCCCACCTGCTGTTAACCTCCTCTATTTCCCACTTCTGAACTTTACCTTGTACTGTACCCTTCTTGCACCCTCAGAGCAAATGCTCTCTTCTCTCCGTATCACCGACCCAACCTCTCTGAAGATGTTCTGAATAAAGACAAAGCTAAGGTGCTCCGTTGTTTCCTTTTCCGTATTTTATCAAGATATATATATATATATATATATAGTTCATTTAGCCAATTTTTAACCATAAACTTTAAGAATAAGGTTTCGGAGGATTATTAAAGAAAAGTTTATATAGTAGTCGAGACTGTTGAAAAACCAGAAGGTTGAAGGTCTCTCATAACTCGGTAAACGCTGATTTCATTACAACCTAAAATAATCAGTCAAAGAATCGCGTAACTAAACCCTAATTTTTTTAGTAATTTGCCAAAAAATTAATCAAGGCCATACTGGCAGCCAGCCCCTAATGTTTGTTGTGTATAAGTATCGTGGTTATCATAAGATAACCAAAATATACCGATAGAAGGTTAGGTTAGAAATGATCCGTATGATAATTAATTTGTCATTCAGGTTATTGGAAAGCTACACAACTGTGAAAGCTCTTATTAAAAAGCATCCCTTTACATAATATGGTCAGAAACGTAATATGGGTCAGTGTTGTTGATAGAGGAGTGCAAAAAAGTTGATGCAGCTCCTGCTTGTGCAAGAACTACTTGTTTGAGAATAGAACCAGATCCTTACAATCTATAGTTTTTATTTACTATTTCTTGGAATTAGCTGACAACTGGCTTTATAGGTTGATATTAACCCTCGGGTTAAATGTAATAAACTGGCGCTCACAGACACCTGTTCTGAATAAATAAAATAAAAATAGTAATCTTGCAGCTTTTGCTTCAAGGACTCTGATTACACTCTTCATTTTTAACTTTTACAGCTAAAGAAAACATTTCATGTTCAACTAGGATGCTCGTGTTTAGTGTCAAGTTATATTTATTAGTTCTGAGAGATGCCTTAATGATGTGTTTTACGCTAGACGTTTCCTGAGACATCATCATTCATTCTTACCAATGATTAAACGTGAAAAGTATAAGAGACTTTTTCACGTGCTGTAATAATCGCTTTTGGGTTGTTGGAAAATCATTAGATATCTAGAGAAAGCACAAGAAAGTGATTCAAGAATAGATTTATTCATGAAAATGCTACTGAAGGTTACACATGGAAAAGGAATGCCAGAGATGTCCCAAGAAGTGAAGCCTTTTACAGACTGTTTCAGAAATTTTTTACGATTCTCTAGAAACGATTGTGGGAACAGAAATGAGACAAGAAGAGGTTCTATGTGTAGTACCTGAAGGTCGATGTTCCTCACAGATTTTGAATACAGAGCAAAAAAGTTAAAACCTGGTCCTACGTTTAACATCGCCAATGTAGTGTTTAAGAATATATGTAATAGCAAATGGAATAGTTCACAATCAAAACATTTGTAAAACAAGACCGAGTAGTAACTTACAATGTGTTGTTCCAAGATCAAATGGTCTTAGTAAGAATACTTCCGTGTACATTATACTGACATTTGTCTATGGAATGATCTATTTACTTAAACACTGCTAAACTAAATATGTTTCGAAAAGACAACTTAAATAATTTTCACGGAGTAAGTTAGGTGCTCATCAAATGGGTTTGTTTTCACCTCGCTACTTGCAAAATTAAGGTTGATAGTTTAACAGAGACATCTAGTGGTGGGCTACGTCAACTACTAAACTCCCAATATGTGATACCCTCTGGCAAAGCTTCCCTACTGGCCACAGAAGTATTGAATTGTGTGTATAAAGAGTGTTGAAGTGTTCGGTAAAGTCTTAAGAGAGTACAGGTAAACGGATAGTCCAGTTATAACCTACGAGAATATTATTATATGAAAACATATCTAGAAATTAAGGGCAATATAATATGAAGAAAACAAATTAATAATACCTTAAATATATCTAACGAAATAAAGGTGGAATAACCCGCCGAAAACTCACGACTATAAACACGAACTGTCAGATCTCATGACTTGTTTCAGTGAACGCCTGCGAAACTTACTTGAGGATTGACAGTGTTTAGTGCTCAGCTGCCGTATGGTGTATATATCGTGAAGTGATTGTTGTGCATGAGATCTCAGCCAGGATGCAATTGAGTGTAGAATGATATGTTGTGTGGAAACTTATTAAACAGTGTTATACCTGTTAAGACGGTCCAGGGGTGTTCATGATCTATGTTATTATGCCACGATTTAATGTTTCACTCGGGGTGATTCAAATGTCTCGCCCGGAGTCAGACCTTTTGCTACAAGGTGAGGAAAACAGACCTGTGGCAACTGTCATCTCTTATAAGGTTTGTTGTTGACTTACCTGACCGTTTTGATTAGCTGAAAATAAACTGAAGAAATATAATGCTTTTCCCTATTTTGGCACAATTTATTAATATATACGTTTTAATGTCAGCGAGCAGCAGAAGAGAGAAATTGACGTAGTCGGCGGGCACAAATACGAAGTCAGACTCGCAATGTCATCATGAATGTATATCATTATTTCATTCGACAATAGGGAGCCGATTCGAGCACTGGGGTCGCCCAGACAACTGCCGAGACCACGTAAGTGTCGTTAAGAACAGTGTAAAGGGTAAAGCGATACTCTTCTGAATGCGAACCTCACCCCAGATCATTACAACGTCAAGAAAGTACGTGCGCTGTACTAAGTAAGCTGGATGATTTTGACAAAGTGTGTATCAGGGAAAATAATCTAGCATTCTGCGAGAGATGGGAGCTGCCGATCGAAAATGCACTCCTAGGGAAAGTGAATGAAACGTCAAGTGGGTAGGGCACTATTAATGAAAAGGGATGACATATTGGTGGCGAGGAACAAGCACAGTACCTCAGGTTAATTAAATAGAAAAGGAAATGTAGCCCTACCAACCAACAGACGGCCAGAGGTGTGTTTGGGTGAAACCTGAGCGAACCACACTAACAGAAGCAGGCAAAGAAACACTCCCTTCAACTAGCCTTCTAAATTAAGGTTTGTATATAAACTGTAATGATTTGTACCCGAATTATTGGTATTATATTAGTTTCGGTCATCCAGGTAATCGTAGGAATATAGGTTAGATTAGATCAAAATCATTCAAAACGCGTCAAA